CCAGTGCCACCCTCATCCCTGAAACTGGAACGGGTTCCTGCCTTCATGGAGCCTCACGTGGGTGCCCTGGTTTTGCTCCTGCAGTCGGCGCCTTTTCCTTTTTTGGGGTCTCTATTCCCCAGCCAGTGCATTTGTTACCTGAGCAGGCTTCAGCAGAAGGGAAACCCACGTGCCAGGAGCTCTCAGGTTTGGGAGCATCCACCCTGAGTGTGTCAGGGATCAAACCTCAGGCAAAAAGATAAACTTGTCTTGCTGCCTGAATGCTTCTGTAAGAGCAGCACCTGCGGTGTGAAGCTGTGAAGGGAGAATGTCTGTCCTTCCCTGCAGCTGCTGAGAAGAGCTGGTGGTCATTTTACCATTAAGTTGATCGGGTACCAGCCAGATTGCTAATTTAAAATTACATCATTAGATCCTGACTGTAAAACACAAATTGTGTTTTCTGTTTCAGCGTCGCATCCTGGAGATCTTGCAGAGTGCTGCCCGTGTCACCAGAGCTGCCTATGAGCTGGTGCAGGATCACAGCCTGCTCACGTGGCTCCTGCACAGCCTGGAGAGAAGGTACAGAGTGCAGGAGACAGGGGAGCCACTGTCCTGTCCCCAGGGCAGGAATGGGGGACAGACAGGGGGACAGGGCACCAAGGGGGACAGACAGGGGGACAGGGCACCAAGGGGGACAGACAGGGACACCAAGGGGGACAGACAAGGGGGACAGACAGGGGGACAGGGGCACCAAGGGGGACAGACAGGGGGACAGGGCACCAAGGGGGACAGACAGGGACACCAAGGGCTGTGCTGGCAGAACTTGCTGCACTCTGAGGTGTCCCTGTGTTTCTGAGAACAGAACCAAACTGCTTTCAGGCTGTGGTAGGAGGGAGGATGGTGGGGGAGCTTTGTGATTTGGAAATCACTTCCCTGAAAAACCAAAAAAGCAGAATGGCACCTTGTGCTGGTGTTTTTACTTTCTAAATTTCAAGCAGCCTTGGATCACCTCCTGTCACAGGAGCTGCAGCACAGGAAGTGGATTGGGGCACAGGGATGGATTGGAGCTGTCTCTGTCTAGAACATTGCTCCTGCCCTTGCCTCTCCCTCACACAGACATCTCTTCTGCATGCACAGAGTGCCCTGACAGGCTGAGGCAATGCACCAAAAGTGCACTGGAATATGGTCCCTGGAGGTGATGGGCCAGCTGCTGGTGAGGATCTGCCTTTCAATGTGGTTTTCTTTTTTTCTTTACCTTTTTTTGTTTGGTTTTGTTTGTTTTTCAGGTTTCTGGAGAACAAGGTGATACATAAAATTATTTCCTTAGTCCACACGCTGTGGCTAACAAATTTAGGAGACAAGAGACAAAACAAGAATCGATCCCAGGAGAACAGGAAACTTCTTCCTATTCAGCTTGTAAATGAATTTCTGTGTGTTTTGGTGGCGTTAATCAAACATATTAGGTGAGTGCTTTGTTTTGGTTTTTGTTTTAGTTGGTTTGCATTTCATCCTCTGCCCAGTTTGAACCTCATTAAGGCCAGGAGGATTTCTGTATCTCTGCTAGAGGGATGGCTTTTTTCACCTTCAGTTTGTGTGCTGAGTAGTGAATTTGGATCAGGTTTCTTTGACAGGAGCATTTAGGTGTTTGGATACAGGGGAAGTAAAGTAAAATGTGATGCACAGTTGCTGTCGAGTCCTTTGTCCTTAACTCCTGGCCATTCTGACAGCAGGGGTTAGGAGCTGTGCTGATGAATTAGCATGCATGGCAGTTGTGTTTTCTCTTGCCAGGGCTAACACAGAGCTGGCCAGGCTGGCTGAGCTGTTCAGCACCCTCAGCTCCGTGCTGCAATACCGTGCTGGGGTTGTGGAGGCCTTCAGGGACATGAGGCGATTCACGGTCAACGCCAGCGTCCTCTCCAGCCGGGAGCTGCTGCTGCTGCTGCACAGGTGGAGCCTGGTCAGCACAGACCTGCAGCTGCAGCAGGACCTGCAGGCCCTGGCCCACAAGTACCAGCACAAGGAATTGCTCAGTAAGTGCTGAAATGCCTCAAGGAAGGTTTGTTTCCTTGTGGCTGTTACAGAGCAGCAGTTCAAGTGAGGCAAACTTCTCTGAAGTAGTGCTAATGCCTTCTGTCGGACTGACGGACCTTGAGGGAGGAGGAAAGGACATGGAAAGGCATTTTTCAGGTCTTCCTTGTGATGATTTAGAACCTTACCACAATTTGGAAGCTTTGGAGAAACACGGTTTATGAAGGGAAAGAGCTTTAAAATGAAACTCAGTGGCAAATCAGGCTTTGAGTCAGGCTTTGACAAAGGGTATTCTTTAATGGAATATTAAGAGAAAAAGCAGTGCCTGGAGGCTTTGTGCTCAATGGTGTGAATCATTATGAGCGTGGATGGGGATCTGAAGGTGATGTGTAAGTAAAAACAACAAATAAATAGAGCAATAGAAAGGTA